TACAAATATATTGGAAAATATATTTTCTGGAAATATATAACTGACATATTTCATAATATATATTTTTTAGATATAGATATTGGAATATATATTTTTAGATATTTCAGTTTTTAGTTAAGTAGGAACTAAGTCGGTTTGGTTCGGGTCAGTTTCGGTTTTCACACAAGAAAACCGAAACTGACCCGAACCATCGGTTTATGAATTTGTACAACCCGAAACTGACTGGTGCTGATGAAAACCCGGACGACTCGGGTTGGGTTGGTCGATTTGGTCGGGTTGGGCCTTCTTATGAACAACCATAGGCTCGAGATCGAGTTCGTTCGGTTGGTCTGGCCTAGGCACAAGGTAGCATACCAGGGATGCGTGGATGCCACACAACCATTAGGTTGCATGGACGTAAAAAATGCGCTAAACTAATTTTGCCTCGGAATACGAACCATTGCATCTGTGTGAAATGTTAGATGCAACTAATCTCAACCGTCCATAGTTTGGTTCATTCGTCTATAAATAGGACCCTCAAGGGCCCATTCCTCTCGTCCCTATCTTTGAAATTCTGGTGAGACCACGAAGCTCGATGTTATCGCAATGATCAGTGTTGTCGGCGAGGTCGGTTTATTCATCCTAGGTGAGTCATCTCCCTTAGTTCTGTTTTTGCTCATAATGTTTGATAGTGAGTTCGGGGAAGAGAGGGATCCGCCCTTCTAGGCCGAGGAAGGGACCTCGACTTAAGACTGACGGGGTTTTCACAAGAGGGCCTCGTCTTCTTGTAGGGCTAAAGCACTAGACCAGTTTGATCCCACCGAGCTCTTTGCCGAGAACATCATTGTGCTTGCAACTCAATATAAGATTCTAAATCAGTTCGGATATTCCCTTCCCTATGGGAAATACCTACAGGAGCACAAGGAAGATGAGGTCATTGTCTTCGAGGAGGCCTTGAAAGTGGGTCTTCAGTTCCCCCTTCATCCACTTATCCCCGAGGTGTTGAACTATTATAACATTAGCTTAGGTCAGCTTCATCCCAACTCCATTAGGACCCTCGTCGGCACTATCTCCTTTTGTCACCACATCGGCCTCCCCCTAGATGTTAAGACCATTGACAGCAAATTCGACATAAAAAAAAACCCTCCAGTACTCTTGAGATGTACAATTGTTACTTGTCCTACCGCCTTAGGTGTAAGCTGATGAATGGCTTTCCCTCCAAAGTAGCATATGGTTGTTCTTGACAACCTGGAGAGAGGGAGTGAGGGACATCGGGGAGGAAACTCTCAGTGAGCAAATGCAGGTCCTAGTGGACTAGAAGTCTATGTTGAGTGAGTACTTGTCCGAGGAGAAGTTGATCTAGGTTGAGCTGAGTGCTTTGGGTAGGTCGTCATCTCAAGATTGAGCATTTTCTTTTTCTTCTTTACTTTCTTTTCTTTTTACACTCCGTCTCACCCTTAAATTTCTCGTCATGTCAGGCATGCCAACTTTCGGGTTGTTCCAAGTTGTGAAGAGGAAGAAGAGGAAGGTGGCTCACCAAGAGGACCTTAGGTTGTTTCTCCAGAGACCACCGTGTGAAGTGCTGTTGTGACTGTGCCGATAATTGACCTAGTCGAGGGAGATCAGCCATAAAGGACCTCGCTAGAGACTGAGGCCTCCCCTACATCCGAAGAGCCCCTTCCACCACCCAAGATTGAGGCGACCGGTGGTTCGAATGTCGAGACCGATCCTGAGGAGAGGCACACAATCATGGACTTCAAGACTGCCCTGGTGAAGAGCAAGGAGGTTGTCTTTCTTGAAGAGGTCGTGAGGCTTCACAAATCACGTCCCAGTGAGCTCGGTGGAAAGCTTATGCATTGCCTCATGGTGGTATGTTCCTGACCTTCTTGTTGTATTCATTCCGATCTTCATTCTAGAATTATTTCCCTTTTTCTCTTTTATAGGTGAACACTTTTGTGCATACCTTGTTGGGGCAGGCTGAGGGAGGTTTGGTGAGGGCCTAGGATGCTGAGAAGGAAGCGGCGGAGTACAGGTCCCGAATTGAATGGGTTGTCTATCTCATCGGCGACCTAAAGGATGAGCTCATAGTGGAGCAAGGTCGCACTACGGACCTGACGGGGAGGTCGAGAAGCTAACCAAGGAGCTTGAGCTCAAGGACCAACAATTACAGGAGAAAGAAGCCAAACTCACCGAGCAACAGTCAAAGTTTCTCGACGACGTCCATGTTGTCGAGGTCCAAGCAGTTTAAGAGTTTAAAACCTCGCCCAACTTCGTAAATGAAAGGAAGGAGTTCGGGTCTAGCACCTTTTGTTAGGAATTTAAACTGTGTCGGATGTTAGTGGCTTCGGTGTGCCTAGAGTTTGACCTCAGCAAAATAAAGTCATCGGCGTTCACCAATAAGATGATGGGTCGGGTTGATCAAGAGCCTAACTCCGAGGAGGAGAAGAAGGATGAGGTTGATGTGGTCAGCGGCGGCACAAACTGCGAATCTGATGCCAGTATGA